TTCTCAGTATATATGGATTTTTAAAAATTTTAAAGGCCAAGTGTTTGCAAAATTTCAACTAGGCAGGAAAGGCTTTGAGTCTAGATATGGGTTCCAGGCAGCGGACTTGAACACCTTACAAAGCCACACGTCGCACTATTATCTGAAGGAAATATTTCTCACCTTTAATAGGGAAATGGGAAAGCTCCAGCAGAAAGCGAGACAGGCTTCTCTGAACAGTCAGATGAAAGCCTGATTAGAGATTGTTAGCACAAGCATGATTTTGTTGCAATAACCAAGTAGTTAGTTTAGCTTTCTTAAGTCAATAATGTAATTTCAATTAAAAAAATTTTTGAAGTTGCAGAGTGCTCCTATAAACCACAGTAGATACTCTAGTAGTTAACAAAGAGGGGAAAAGGACATTATTTAGTCAAATACAAAATTTTATAAACTAAAAGGGAGAATCAAATACAGAAAAATGTGGACTAACATATACCAAAGGCCAAATAATTAGTTCTTTTCAAGATTCTCACCAGATAGAGAAACACTGCAGGATTAAAAGTGCTGCATTATTAACAAATGCTAAAATAAAATAAATACCACAACAAGCTTAAAACCTAATGTATTGGGAAACAAACTCTTATGTACTCTGCATAACTGTAATTGTATTTAATTTCTTAAAATCCTGTAACTTCTAAATAAATGAGTCACAAAAACAAAAACTCACGAGAATAAACCACAATCAAGACCACCAATAGTTCCCTTTTAAACAGTAATAGCACAATAGTATTGGCTATATCATTGAAAAGTAGTACATAAGTCCATGTAAAAATTAAGAAAACTGATTACATATATGCACACACACAAATACACGCACACATATATACATATATATACACATACATAATAGTCTCAGAATTAATATGCTCACATAATGAGCTTTTGAAAGAGCAATCCTTCCTAAAAAAACAATTTTTGGTAATTTGTTGATACTTATTTGTAGTTTAAGTCTGAAATATTCTCATTTCTGTGTATGCTTAAAGCAATGAAATAATTTTCTATTCATCCAGTCCTCATCTCCATACTCTTAACAGTTTTAGAACAGGTGGGAACAGTGACCTGCTTTTTCAACCATTATATCCCCCAGACATGACTAATTAGAAGCTGAGCAAATTACACATAATGGGCCAGGGATTCAAGTTCATGATTTTTAGTGGCTGCACTCGTGTTTCAGGGCACATGGTTTTCTCCCCACCCCCTTCACCCCTGCAGCTGCCTGTCTCCCCATGAAATCAAAGGAAATTTATTTTAAAAAATTCTTCTGCAGGCTTATTTTTAAGGAGGATAAGATTAAGCTATGTCTTTAAAATTTTTTATTTTACTTCAGGGGGATCTTAAATTTTTAAATGAGTTCTAAATACTAAAGAAGGTAGCCACTTAAACCTTTTCAATGCATAAGAAGACAGCCAGAGGAAAGATTTTATTATGGCTTGGTTTTTACAAAAGCATAGCATAATTTAGTGAATTTTTAAATACCCCAAATTCTGCCACATACACATTGCTTTCCAGAGCCTTTTTGCAAAATCCCATTGAAGATTTAGCAGTACACAGACACTGGCACAAGAATAAATAAATAAATAAGTGCACACACCCGAACACACATACAAACTTGGGGCAGGGGAGTGTTTAAGCTGGCTAAACAAAACCCAATCTCTACTTGCTTTTTTATTTAATGTTTAAAGTTTCCCCATCAATTTTAGAAGGCTGCAATCAAACACCAGTCTAAATGCCACCTAAATCTCTCAATGTACGGAAAAATTCATACAATTTTATAACTGGAAGAATCCTTAAACTCATTAACCTAACAATGAGGAAACTGAAGCCTGTTGGTTAATTGATTTGCCTGGTCACTTTGGGATGTATGACTTGCCATTGTTGTTTTAGGTGTTTGTTTTTGTTTTGTGTATATGTGTGTGTAGTACTTATATCCTGATAACCAGGAGCTTTGCCATTCGGATCCTCCTCTTTCTAAGTCGCCATGTTTCCTTTCATCTGGGACAATAGTGATCAAAAAGGAACATATATTATGGCCAACTCACCGCTAAAATTTCACGTTTTCCCTTGGCCTCTGAGGATTAGATAGACACGTCCCACCCAGGACACCTTACTTCTAACATATCAGTGGAACTGAGAAGTAAGGTTCTTTGCTCAGTGGGGAGAGTGGAGAAGGAAGTTTGTGAACTTTGCTTTCCAGCCTACAAACTGCTCCTTCATCTATTGATTCCACAGGCCCACTTTGTTGAAGCTCTATTCTCCGATTGGTTTCCCCTGCTTTCCAATTTAGGGAAGTTTGGTGGGAAAACATATTTACCATTTGTTGATATTTATTTCCCATGTTTGGGTCTTGTAGTATACCCAAGTTCCTAGATTTCTTTAGCAGTAATAAATAACTAGCTAACTAAATAAATAAAATCTCTAAATGGACGAGATAAAGGCTAAGTCGCTGTTCAAAGTATTTAACATGGACTGGATCTGATCTTTTCAGTCTTCCAGCCAGAACTGGGGACATAGCTGTGACAACTGAGGAAGGAAGGAAGCTAAACGGTGAACTCACAACAATGTCCCCCAAGAAGTGTTAGACATAATTATTTTCTTTTTCAGGGAAAGTTGGAAAGAAAGTCATTTGTTGAAGAGAATCTAATTAGAGTTAGAACCTACGCCTAACTTTTTGAGACTGTTACCAAGTATGGTCACTAACCAAGTTCTCTGGGGAAAACAGCCCTTGGCCCCACTGATCTAGACAAACCCCTCTTTGAACGTGCAACTGTTCCAATTCTACTGCAACTTTAATGTCCAGCCGTCACTCACCAGTGTCCTGGAACCATCTCCCTGGTCCTAAGACTCCAGAAACTATACTAATTCCATCAGTGCCCTCAGAAACCTAAGACAGTGGGTGATGGGCTGGCTCTTCAAGGTTAGTATCAGCTTTAGAAAAAGAAACGTGCACCAACAAACACCAGGCCACTATGTGTAATGGTTCACTGCCTGTGCAAAAACCTCAAAGAGGATGAAGGTCAGACAGGGATAATAGGCCAATTTAATTCTGAAAGCACAAGGTGCAAGAAATTTTAATTATGGTCTGCCACTGAAATCACACAAGATCCAATGGCATCTAACTGCAACTGCTCATCAAGGGAGACAAGAGGTGTAATTGTAACCGCTGCATAATCACTGTGAGGGCACAGGGAAAGGCTGCCTTCAGCTCCCAGCAGAGAATGTATTAAGAGCCTCGAAAAATCCAATACAAGGAAACAGAGAGATTGCACATAGCTAAACAGGAGCTCATAACAGGAAAGCTCAATGAGAGAGAGAGAGAGAGAGAGAGAGAGAGAGAGAGAGAGAGAGAGAGAGAGAGAGAGAGAGAGAGAGATTGTGTGTGTGTGTGTGTGTGTGTGTGTGTGTGTGTGTGTTTGGGGGGAAGGGGTGTTCCAAGAATAACAAGATTAAGCTGTTTGGCCCAAATTGAAAATACGAGCTTGGAAAACTCTGAACCCCTTTCTGCTTACATACAGCGAGAAAGGTATGATCTCCTCCAGCAATTTCTCTCCTCAGTGAAGCTTTGCCCGCGCCCCTTTGTTTAAACAATTATCTTGGATGTTACAGTGATTTACAGAACCAGGCTCCCTTTGATTTGTTCCCATCAAACCCAGGTATGGAGACAAAACGCCAAGCATAGGACTCAAAGCGCCTGAGCTCTCATCCCCAAGACGACTACGACGCCGGTTCTGTGCAGACTCTTGGCAAAGGGAAGCGGGGAGAAAGCCCCTCCGTGGACTTCCCACTCCACAAAGTTTTACAGATCCCAGAAGGGAGCAAAATCTCCCATCCGCGCAGGCTGCAAAGTTGGCGCTGAAGTTTGTGCCGGGATGTCCTAAATCTCGTGGGGGAAGAGGACAGGAGAGTGTGGAGAGGCGGGAACGATGGATGAAGACGAAGAGACAGCAAAAGAAAAAAAGGGGGGGGGGTAGTTTTTCGAATGGAAGGTCCTTGAGACCTTCTTCTTCAGCCGGAAGCCTCTTTGGCTCTGAGAGGTCCGGGCTGCGCGCACTGGGAGAGGTCTCCGAGGGCGGGCGCCTTCGTCGCCGGGGCCCGGGGAGCTGTCACCTGCGCGGGGCTGCAGCGGTGGCGGGGAGCTTCCCAGCAGCCAAGGTGGGACCGCGGGCTGCAGACTCCCCGGCTGTCGGGGCTCTGAGAAGTGGGGGAGGGCAGATTCGAAAGAGGGCGCCGGGCCAAAAGCAACACCTTTCGGATACGCTGTTCCCCTCCGACCTCTCCAACTTCCATCGGCGCCAGCCAAGGACTTTCTCCCACCGCACCCCACCCCATCCTGCCTCCCAGCCCACCGCTCGGACCTTCTGACTGCAACGGCGGAGGGCGGGGTAGGGTGCGGCGAGGGAGCAGAGGGAGCGGAGGTTGGGACCCAAAATACAAACTCTCACCCCCTGGCTGCGAAGACCAAATGCATTTCCACAGGCAACCAGCACAACCCTGTAACTGGGCTCCGGATTTGCACGGGGCGCAGTTCCCCGACTCTTCTGTTGTTCCTAATAAAGTCTATTACGATGCCCTCCGGAGCTGAATGGGAGGGAAAGGAGAGGAAAGGGGAGGGGGGGAGCGCGGGAAAAAGCGGGGGTGGGGGGAGCAGCAATCAACTTTGTAACCCAGCGCTTCCTCCCGCGATCCGTCGCCATGCTTAAGATTCCCACCCCCGCCACCCCCCTCCTTCCTTTCAAGTGGATACTGAAACTAGGCCAAAACTTTTTCCCCTCCTTTTCTCTTAGCCACTAGACTGGATTGTGCCCCACGGAGCCCCATGGAGCTCTGCTTTCTTAAGCACAATAGCCGGACTAATTAGATCATAGAAGCAAGACAGTGATACTGTAACAAGTAGCCCGAGAGGCAAAGAGGGAAGGGGCCCGAAAAGAGAGAAAGGGGGAAAAGTTTGCAGCTCTGGCACTTACCAATCAAGCCTCCCACCAGAAAGGCGATGATTTGGAACACGAGCAGAATCCCACCAACAATGCATAGCTTCTTGGTGCTCATATTTTCTATAATTGCCCCAGCCATTCTTGCGCCCCCCCCCCCTTTTTCCTTTTCTTTTGGAAATAAAAAATGTTTTAGGGTGTGCTTTTGCTCGCTCTCCTCTCACGCTCCCCCCCTCCCTCGCCTCCTTTCTGGGCGCTGCAAAACTTCAGGGGTGCGGGATCGCGGCGAGGATGGGACCGGGACGGCAGGCGCCCGCACGGCTTCCCCCGGCGCAGCCGCTCGCGCTCCCCCAGTGCCCGGAGCTGTGATTGTGGCCGCTCCGCCGCCTGTGGACGCTTAAAGGAGCAGGGAAGCGGATCACATGACACCGCCTCCCTCCCTTTCTTCCTCCCTCCCTCTCGCGCTTCCTCCCTCCCTCCCTACCTCCCTCTCTTCCTCACCCCCTTGCCCGCCTGTGCGGGGCTCCGAGCTCCCGAGTCAGGCCGGCAGCTTGTCCCGCCTGGGGCCCGTGTCGTTTGGGGGTTGATGTTGCTGTTAAGTGGGTTCCCCCTACCCCGCCTCTTACATGCTTTCTTGTCTGGTGCGAGATTTAAATCACTCGTGGGTAGCTTTGCAGACCTTTAACTAAGGCGTTGACTTTAGGAAATGGTCCCCACCCCCCAACTGCTAGAACTCTCTTTAGGAAAGAGGAGGAGAATTTTTTTTTTAAAGGGACCCCAACAATGTTTAAATCAAAGAACAGAGATGTGGAATAATGTCTCAGCTCGGCTCCCTAATGCCTGAGCCCAGCCTCTGTTATTAGGCACACACCCAGCTAAATCCCCCCCCCCCCCCAGGCCCGCCCGCCCCACGGCACCCCTTGAGGAACCCTGTGCTCCAGCCAAATCAGACCGCTGTTCCTTACAGGATACCCACTCCCTGTGTTTCCAGAGCCTTGACCCTAGTTCTTGCGTTTAAAAAAAAAAATTGTTTTTTAAAGTCCATCAGAGTTTTAATCCTTTAAAAATCAACTCGCCTGAAGAACCTTGCTAATTTTCCAAACCATCTTTGTAACATCCCCGGGAACTGAGCCCCTACAGTTCCTGTTTACATTCTTAGCTCCTATTGTAAAGGACTTGTAAGGGCGTTTGTCTCCACCGCGGAGCCTAAACTCCTGGGGGATAGGGACCGAGTTTTATTCATCTTTGCACCCCCCGTGGTGCCTAACAAAATTCTAGCTCTAGTAGGTCCTCCATAAACTTTTGTGGCCTGAATAAATCAGTGAATGTGAAAACAAGCCCACCGTTTGCATTTCAAAAGCCTAAAAGAGACATTTGATTTAGATGGTACACATATTAAATTGCAATGTTTGTTCTCTCTTAGTGAGGATATACTTATGCTTATACTTAACCTCGAGGGGGGAACAGAGGGTGGGACACAAGAGATTTCCTGCTCTATGGAGAATAAATTCCTGGGCCTGGTTTATCTGTGTTTCATAAACTGGTCACTTGGCCAGCGCTACACACATTTCTCAATAGACCCTGGGTCTGGTAACCTCTCCTCTCCACTCTCACACATGCAGGGTTTCCACCCCCCACCACCGCTTACACACCTGAGTTCTTGCCCCTCCCCTCCCCTCCATCTCCATCCACACCCTCCTTAAGCCAAGGGAACGTGGAAAGTCCTGTCTCCTCCTCTACTCTGCTCCTGAACTTGTGTTGCCCTTCCAGAAGATGCCATGCAGCTTACACATCATAGAGGTGTTCATTTCTAAAGTTCAAGTAGATACTTCTTGCTGAACTGGTATCAAACTTTATGGATATAAAACTACACTAACAGCCTGAACTAACAGTTCTGGGGTATGTTGGCTCTTTATTCCTTCTTCCCCTAACCAGCAGTCACTCACTGAGCCCTTAACCCTTTCCATGCTCTCTTTTCTCAGCACTGGAGGCTAGATACCAAGATGTGAAGACACGTGTCCTTGTCGTGGCATCTAGACTCCTCAGTCTAGCTGGGAGCCACGAGTAGTGATGAACAACCTTAACCGTGGACGACATCAGATCAGACAGGAAGAAGCAGGAGGAATTCTTGTCAACATTCATGGTCAGAGTGTTTGGTGCCCAAACATAGATAGACCAGTGCGGCCTATTTGCCTTCCTTCTTTGCCTTTTGCCTTCCTTCTTTGCCTTTTCAGACACTTACATCTTTTTTTTTTTTTTTTTTCTGACAGGAGTAAGTTCCAGAGCATCATAAATAGAAAGAATGTCCTTCTCTTGCTAGTATACTCTACATTATGTGTTCTCATCTCAGCAAGCTGCCAACTTCCACATATTTAAATAATAATGATGCCTTAGGGTTAGGATTTCTCTTTTTTTTTTAACACAAGGGGATATTTTTTGGTAAAGTTGATAGGATTCAATATTAAGATTTACTCTTCATTTGATTCTACTTTTCACTATTAAGGAAGAAAGAAATGGTGTTCCATGCACCTCAAATATGAATTGGATCTATAAGAAATTCTTGGCGAGCTGAATTGGTTTATTTGTTTAAGATTAGTGAGTTCCCCAACTCACTTTTCTATGAACTGCTACAATACCCTTCCATCCTCTTGCCTCCCAAATGTAGGTCTTCAGAGTAACTGACCTAACTCTCCAAGGTCTGGAAATGAAAGGCTTGGAATAAAATACTGGTTCCCCACCAAGGTGATACTCTGTTTTGAAAGGGCACTTATTATTTAACATTTTAATTTTAAAAAGAGATATTGCTCACTGCTAACCAGTGCTTCTAACTTGTATCAGATTACCCATATTGCCAACTGAGTGAGGGCAGACACACATAGCATTAATCCCCATGGACAGCTTTTTAAAAAATTATAGTTTCCATTATGCATTTTTGAAAATTAAAACTGACTTTTGGATTCTTAATTTCTAAGTAGAAAAGAGCATCAGTGTTTGAGTTGGCTGCACCTGGGGTGGAGCCCAGCTCCCAGCTCTGACCTTTGCTATATGTGATCCAGGGCGCCCACTTTCTCCAAGGCTCAGGTTTCTGGTCTGTAAAGTGGAGATAATAATAGTACCTAGCTCGTGGTGTCCTTGCAAGATATTATTAATTATTATAATTAGGAACCCTTAAGGGAAATCAATAATCATGTGTAAAAAAACTAGTAAAAATGATCATTCATTGGTTTTCTTTCTCACCTCTAAAATTTTACCATGCTATAATTATTTTTTGAATCATATTTCAGGAGCAGTCTAAGTAATTAACTGATAAGGACGCTGACAAGACACTCAGTGAACTTTAAACATAGAAACATTCTAAAAACTGCTCCCTGTCCCGCACCTCCTGCATCTCCTGTCCCGCACCTCCGCTCCCCATTCCTGTGTAGCATTTACTGGCACGTCTATCCCGGGCTATAGTTTGCACCTACATCTGCATATGTGCCCTGTTGTCACCCCTGGCTTCCAAACTCCTTAAGAGCAAGGAGAATATGGCCCGAGCCTTTGTCTCTTTCACAGCCCCAGCACAGCACCTTGCACAGAGAGGGCTCATTTCCTGGAGTTGAGAAAGCCCCCTTTGGAAGCCAAAGGCAGCATATCATTATCATCATCGCAGTACATGTAATGTAGAGATCTAAGAGAATTGCATATACCTCCTCAAACACCTAATTTACTTCCCGGAGGGACCTAACGAGAGTAATAATCTCACTGGGAGGCTTCTCATTCTCATAAATAGCTTTTATCCACAAATGGCATCCCTGTGTCTCCTTCAGTGTTGGTATTTTCTCGTAGTTAGTGTCTGTGAATGTGAGCAGGCACTTTGGGTTCACACTGTATTTATTCAGTGTCACTTTTCCCTTCTCTCTCTCTCTCTCTCTCTCTCTCTCTCTCTCTCTCTCTCTCTCTCTCTCTCTGAAAGAATATATATATATACACATTCACAACTTTTTTTAAATGTGTGTGTTTTTTTAAGGAACCACCCTTCCCATTTCTCTCTATGAGCTCCTTTGTCTTGTTTTATATGTACCTTTTCTAGTACCTCCTTTTGCACACTAACCTTGAGTAGTAACTATTCAGAACCCAGAGCTGGGAAGACTGTTACTTTCAACCTGATCTTTAGATGAAACTGTTTCATAAATACCCCACCACCTTCTCCCGTTTTACATATCAGCACCCACCCTGAATAAACTCCATTTCACCTTTTCTTTTACGTTTCACGCATTAGGCTTATTCAGTCACTGCTTTAAGTCTTACTAGCTGTATATGTAAATCTGAGAATATTACTTACCTTTTTGAGACTTACCTTTCTCATTTCTTTTTTTTAAAGGATGCTAATACCAATTGGTGAGCATTTTTTTAAATATAATGTTACAAAGTGCCTGGCATAGAGCCTGACAAGTGGGCTCTCGGCAAATGTTTCCGTGTTACAAAGGGGGAGGGGTTCTGTTCTCAAGTAGCAAAACAGCATAACAAAGCAAAGAACTATAACCCCCCTCATCACTGTGTCTTATGAAGTTGCCTTTTTGAACCCAGGCCACTTGGAAGGGGAAGGTAAAAATCTTGATCGGTTTCCAGAGGCCTCTTGTGGGAGGCAGCTGACAACCTGAAGTAGCCAGCCAGCCTCCTGCTGTTTTCCAGACTTGAAAGAGGCTGCAGCAGAGAGCTGGGATGCCTCCAGTGTCTACCTCTGAGATGGCATGTGCTCAGTTTCTGGAGCAGGGGTCAGAGAAAGGCTCCTTTATCTGCCAGTTTCCTTAACATAAACCTAGTGGGGTCTGAGCTGGCTGATCCCCCTCCCCATGCCCTCTTGACTGTTCTCCCTCCCCATCTCACCCTGTACTTTGACATGCTCATAAGCTCCTCTCCATCTGCCCCTCCCCATGGAGAATGGCGGTGGGAGGAAAGCCTGAACAGGCCAAGAAACACCTGCCCTGGACAGCGATCCTGTGATATGTAGACAGCAACCAACACTGAGGCACAGAGTCAGCAGAGAAATTGTGTTGAATGAGTGAATGAACGAATGAATGAACACATTCCAGTCTCTGGCTATCCAGGGGGTTCAGGAAGGCCCCCCACACATGGCCAATGTCAGGAAGAAAGACTCAGGCTTCACTCAGCCCTAGAACATCTGGGGTGAGAATAGGCCTTGACTTGGGCCAAAGCCCAATCCTTTCCCCATGCTAACTGTAAAGGAGCTCAGAATCACCATGAAGGGTAACCTCCAACAAAATCAGCTGCAGGTGTCTATATGTAATGGGGGAAAGTAAAGGTTGTATGAGGGTAAAATACATGAAAGTCAAGGACCTTTAATATTTCCCCTTTGCATTAGACAAAGGAAACTGCAGTGGCAGGGAG